GGGACCCAGGGAAAAGATCTAGAAAGGAGACTGCATCCAACTGCTCCTCCCTTGCTCCCATGATATTTCTAGAACTCTTCCCAACTGGGAACACCAAGGGACAGGGCAGGAAGAGACAAGAGACAATCAGAAGGAGCAACGCCAGTCCTGTCGCTAGCACACCGAGTAGAGGTCACAGAGAATTGGCTGAGTAGGGACTTCGTGTCTTCTCAGAGCATAATCGATGCCTTGCAGCCTCACATGACAGCTGGGCCCCTGCTGCCTGGGACACCTGTACTCACGCAGTGTCCACTTGTGCACAGTTGGCCAGCCTAGCCTTGGTTGCACCATGCCCAGGAAGACCAGCTCTGCTCCCCAAGAACAGGATATCCAGATGAGGCAGAAAGGCCCCTGGATGATTTCCCTCTTACTGATTTGTGCTCCCTGATAAAATTGAGCTTGGATATTTGTTAAAGTTTTTTTCTTCTCCTAGGAAATCCTGACTTTCACCATGTGCTCAGCTGAGACTCCTCTTTTGGTTTCAGATCACCAGTATGGTATGGTGAGCCCTAGAAACTCTCCCATTGAGACCCCTAGAGATCATCTCTTAGCTTCTGGCAGGACTCCCAGTGTCTGCCCCCCAACTCAGACCTAGGAATGGAGCCTCTTGTTTGCTCCCATCTCACCTTCCCAGGGCTTAGCAGAAGACATGGCAACTTCCAAGATTCTCCTCTGCCCTGTGACTTCTGCAGCACCCCCTTTTCATTTTGTAAAGAGGTTAAAGGACAAGTAGCCACAGTGAAACAGCTAGTGGCTAAAACAAACTGAGCGGGTTCTAGATTTTCATAGAAAGGTAAGGAAGAGCCAGGGAAGGGCTTTTCTTTATCTTGTATCACAAACTGGCCAAAAGCAGCCTTTTTTATGAATGAACATCCTTCAAGGGAAGGCATTTCAAAAGGAAGCATTGTGTCCCCACTTCTCTCTTGCCCTAGATGCTACAAAGAAACAGATTAATCCTAGACCATTCCATTTCATAAAAGACTGCTATTGACAGATCACATCTTGAGCCACCGCCCCTGTGGGTACCCTTTGTTTTAGTCTTCTTCTGACAATCTCACTCTTTGACTAGAAAATAAAAATCAAGCCATTCTTGATTTATAACTCACCCATCTAGAAGCAAAGAACCTCTAGTTTGGATTGTCTCTGTAATTCTTAGAATCACTCTTAAATTCCTACCAAACTACTGTACACACAAACATGGGTGAGTCTTTGATGAGTTGTGCTAACTGAAGGAATTCAGACACAGAAGGAACTGTGGTTCCACTTATATAACATTCTGTGCAAAGTACAAACAAGGGAATGGGACAGGCATGGTGGTGTCCTTCTGCAATCCCAGCACACAGGAGGCTGAGGTGTGAGGATGTCAAGTTCACCATCAGTCTGGGCTACATAGCAAGACCTTATCTCAAAAAAAGAAAACTGGGCTAGGACTAGGGGTGATCAGAAGGGGGCCCTTGGAAATTGTTTGACATGATGGAATTGTGACATGATAGGGTGACATGATTCTCTGCTTTTGTCAAAATTTATAGAACTGCACCTAAGAAGGCAAATTTTTCTTATGCAAATTATGCCTCAAACTACTATAATAAGTTCATGGGTTAATTCATTTTAGAACAAGACAAAACATAAGTAACTATTGAGTTATGTAACTCCCCACCCACCTTTGAAAGCTGGAATTGAAGTGTCCGTAAGGTTGAGTGGGTCAAAGACGAGGACCAAGGGTCCCTTCAGAGGGTGCCTCATGTTGAAGGGAGTTCAGGCCATATGAGCCCAACCTTCATGTGTTCAGCAGTGTTCGGTCAGACTTCGTAGAAGGCAGATACAAGGCCAGGCAATGCAGAAGCAGCCATAGAACAAGATAGAGCTGCTGCCCATGAGGAGCACATCGGCTAGTACTCTTGGGAAGAGGCAGGGTGCTGCAGACAAGTAAAGAATCAGTAACAGCTAGGCGCTGGTATCTCAAGCCTATAATCCTAGCTACTTGGAAGGCCGCGATTGGGAGGATCGAGGTTTGAGGCCAACCCAGGCAAGTAGTTCATGAAACCCTGTCTCCAAGACAACTTGAGCAAAACGGGCTTAGAGGCGTGACTCAAGCAGTAGAGCACATGCTTTGCAAGCGTGAAGCCCTGAGCTCAAACCCCAGTCCCTTCCTCCCCACCAAAAAAAAAAAAGGAACAAAACAGGTATGCTCCAGAGAGCACATCTACCTGAGTGTGCTAGCTATGCTCGGAGGTTGTGCACATGCAAGTGCCCAAAGGGGAGACCTTTAGAAGGTGTACCTTCTAAAACTGCAGGAGGGTGCCAAAACACCTTCTAAAACACCCAGGGTGGGGGTGTGCTCGCAAGATAGAGGGAAAACAACTCCCAATCAGTCCCTCCTATCAACTGCCACCAACACAGATCACTTCTGCACCCCACAATGTGGGAGCCAGCAGTCAATCAGATCTACAGCAGCCCCAGTGAGGCATCTTCTAATTTAATTCAACTCGCACACTGTCTACCTGGAGGGTGCATCAGATCTCATGGGTGAGGGCTCAGCCTCATCACAGGGTCCCCAGTTCAGACACTAGTACCAAAACCAGGTCTCTTGGAACTTCTGATCAGCCAGCTGCCAATCTAGGTTCACATGACTTCCTTCCTTGGGTCTGATTAATTTTCTAGAGCAGCTTTCAGAACTCAGGGAAACACATTCACAGGTTTATAAATAAAAAATATTACAAAGAACACAGATGGAGAGATGCCTAGGGCAAAATATGGAAAAAGGGGCATGGGACTTCCATGCCCTCTCTAGGTGGGCCAGGCTCTAGGAACTTCCACATGTTTTACTATCTAGAAGCTCTCTGAATCTGTCCTTTGGAAGGTTCATGGAAACTTCATTGTATAAGCATGGTTGAAGCGTGGACAGCTGTGTTAAAAGGTGACTGTACAAAAGGGAGGTGGAGTACGCTAATAGGCTGAGTGGGGACACCCAGTAAGGCCTATCTATGCAGATTCTTCATGGCCCCTCTGTGCAGCTGTCCTCCAGTTTATAGGGCAAGGCTCCTCTGGAATCAGAGGGGTCTCATGAGTAACTATATAGTAGAGTATAACAGAATTTCTTTATGCCCACCTCTAAGACTGAAAGGTGGGAGAAGATTCAAGTTTTGCCTTGGAAAAGAGAAATTCTAGTTTCTGTGGTCTACTTTGGGGAGGGACTTATAAGCCAGGAACCATGGATGAAAACCAAAATGTATATATCATAATTTTATAAGTGTCTTCCTCTTTCTTCCTTCCTTCCATCACTCTGAGCCATACTCTGAAGAATTATGAGCCACAGAATAGAGAGAACTGCTGTCATAATTTGGGGCTCTCTGAAGGTTTTAGACATTTAATGAGTATTTGCTCAACAAATGAGATTTCAGGTTAATAGGTGAAAAGCTCCTGAATACTTGGGCTTCCTAATTGTTCCTCTGATTTAACTTAGGTCTGTGATGCTCTTCTTATCAGTACAAAGGAAATTTTGGAAGCCAGATGGGAGCTACAACAGGAAATACGAACCTTAGAATCTCCATTAGATCGCCTTGGTCTCAACCATCTCAGCTTTGCCCCCAAATGGGACTATGTTCTTTCTTCAGGGATACTGTTCCAGGGAATCCAAACAGGCATTTCTCAGTCTTCACTGATGGGACAGCTTTCTGAATTACATACAAAACAATTTCTAAGTTGCCTGGGTATATTTTCCTATCCATGCCAAAATACCTTCACCACATGTAATCGGGAGGGATTCCATCCCAGACCATAAACCATTAGGCAGTGGCCAAAACCAGCTACAACATTCTCCCCCTAGACACTATGTAGAACCCTCAGGATCCCCTGGGCCAACAGAGGCTGTGACCATTCTGTCACCAAGGACTGCTTCCATATGCCTTTTGCCTGTATCTATCATGAAGGTGGCTCTGTTCTCAACACAGGCCTGGTGTCTGGCTTTGTGGCAGAATTAATTCTAATTATCACACCAAAGCAACTGCTCAGTTTCAAATGTATGGCTATTTCTGAGATTCAGCCTCTGGATGAGTAAATTTCAGTGTTTCCTCATGCCTTTGCTAATGGCAGTAATGAACTTGAGCATGGTTCCTATTTATCCATTTTCTTACTCAGCGTGAGCAACTTGTTATACTTAGCTGCATCAAGTGGGGTGAGAAATTATTTCTTCAAAAATACTGATGTCCCTCACAATGAAATGCTCTGAAAGCTGTGAATAATACAGGATAGGAGGAAAAGGTAAGGTCGAGTAATACAGAGTTAGACTAATTAAAGTAAAATATACTTACAGGTAAAATACCAAGACAAAAACTCCACTGAACAATGAACAGACACTTAAACCATGAAGCACAGGAATGTAAAACAGGTCATGTTAAGGGGATGGTAATAAATGGAGAGGGTAAAGGAGGGTGAATACAGTTGATGTACTTTCCATACAGGTATTAATATGCAACATTAAAACCTGTCAGTCATTTTAAGAATGGGGTGGGGAAAGAGGGAGAATAATGGAGGGGATGAACCAAACCAGGACAAAATATGTATATTTGGAAATGTCACAGTGAGACCCACCCCCCACCGTACAACTATCATATACTAATAAGAACATTTTTTTAAAAATCAAATACAGTAACATTCAATACAAGTGAAAAAATGAATAAATAAAATACCCATGTCCCGGGATCTGTTTCAACAAAGAAGAACTCTAGGGCCTTATAAGATTACCTCACCAAAGCCCTTAAGCTCCACAAACCAGGCCCACCCCCTCTAACTAGGCCTGTGTTCCCTGATGCGCCTTCAAGGTCAATGGGAAAGGAGCAGGAATACAAGTGAATCTGAAAAGGGCCCTGTCTCCCAGGGAAGGAAACCTGCAAGAGGCAAAGGAGGGAAGATGTCTGCAAACACTGATTAGGGGTGGGGGGAATGGGGATCTTGTTTTTCAGGGTTATCTGTCAGAAGGGTTGGTGACAAAATGGTACCGCTCTCCACGACTGCTCCTGTCCCCCAACAACTACACGAAAGCCATCGACATGTGGGCAGCAGGCTGCATCCTGGCTGAGATGCTCACTGGAAGAATGCTCTTTGCTGGTAAGTTGCTAAATGTGCCACCTGCCTGCTCTTCTGGTGTCATGCTATAAAAAGGGAAAATGAGCGCAAAACATATGCTAATCCCCAAACATGCTAATCCTTTGCTGAGATGACTTCATTGGCTTTTGTGGTACTTCTTGGAAGCATGTTATTAAAATTTCAGGCAAAAATACTGTAAAGGCTAAAATTAGCCTTTTGAGCACAGAACTTTTGTGATCAAGTAGTCATTTTGCTATGATCTGAATGTTTGTGTCCTCCTAAAGTCATATGTGGCAACCCCTAACCTTTGGGGAGGTACCTTTATAACAGAGGCCCCACAGAGCCCCCTCACCCCTTCTATCATGTGAGGCAGCAAGAAGCCACCATGTATGAGAACAAGCCCTTCACTGGACATTGAATCTGCCAGTACCTTGTTCTTCAATTTCTCAGCTTCTAGAACTGGAAGGAATAAATATTTATTATTTATAAGCCACCCAGTCTGTGATATTTTATTATAGCAGCATGAATAGATTAAGACATACTTATATTCCAACACCTTAAGATTGCTGAAAACCCACTACATTTTCAGCAGTTTTCTCCTCTCTCTCTGATGCTGTGTTCTCTGTCCTGCAGCCACACTAAGTGACCGACTACCTTCCTAATCCATCAGGATTTTTTATTTATCTTGGCACAAAAATCCCTTCTCTACTGAGAAAACTCCTGAAATTTGAAAACCCAAATTGTGTCTTGTCCTCCCATTAGCCATTCCTAACTTTCCAGCATTTTCTCTCTGCACTTGCTCTTCTCTGTTCTCTCTTCCCTCCCCTGCAGTAGGGCTCATAGCCCCTCTGTGTTAATCACTTTGCATTGCTGTGACAAAATACATGATATAAGCAACCTAAAAGGAAGAAAAAAATGGCTCACAGTTTCAGAGGTTTGAGACGGTAGTCACTGGCTCCATTGATTTTAGTGGCAACACAGGAACATCATGGAAGAAGGAAGGGCACGCCTGAGGAAAGCTACTTACCTCACGGCAGTCAGGGGTGTGGGGAATGGAGAGAGAGAGAGAGAGAGCGACAGAAGAAAAGGTATGCCCTTCAAAGGCATGCCCCCAGTGACCTTCCTCCAAGTAGGCCCCTTTCTAATAGCCCATTCAGCTACGAACTCATCAGTGGATTAATGCACCAATGAGGTTAGCACCCCGGTGATACAATCATCTCTCAATAGGGCCACCAGCTGAGGACCAAGGCTTCAACACATGAGCCTTTTGGCAAGGACACTTCATATCCAAATCATAACATCCTCCAACCCACGGAAGCCACTCCTACCTGGTGCTGTTCTTAAGCCAGTGGAACCCATTTAGCCTCATCCTGTTGCACTAATGACCATCCTTCCTCTGAGACTCTGCTTTCTGGACTGGCAGTCTCTTCCTCCCTCTCTGGCTTGCCTCTACACCTGCATTTCACCCCACTGCTTCTACTCTCTTTGCATGGTGTCCCTCTGCTGTCCCCAAGTTTCCACCCTTAGTCCTAAATGCTGCTGTCACTCGCAGAATTCTAACTCAGCCCTTCCCCTCTGGTTAACTGCAGAAATGCTCAAGACTGTTGGAGGAATACAGTGATGCCCAGTGGCCTCCTCATGCTCTGACTGAGACCTGAGGCCCTCCTCCCCTTGTTGCAATGGAGGCACTGAGAGCAAACAGCTGGTGGTGTTATGTCTGACCTGGTAGACACTCTATGAGCAGGGAGGAGTAGGAGAGATCTCAACAGCATCCTCCTCCCAAAGCATCCTTCCCAAGGGGTGCTTTGGAAGACTCAGAGTGCTAATATGCCTCCCCCAAGTGACATCTGTCACCAAGGATCATTCAGGGATGATTAGAACATAATCCTTCATATGCATTTGTCTCATCAGCATCTCTTGGAGAAAGTCATTGTTCCCCAGCTCTTGGGAGGTGGGAGAAGTCATGGTCTGCTAAGCAGAGGCTTGTTGTGGAGCCAAGCACTCATTGATCCATTCACTCCCTCATTCATTCAGTCATTATGTATCGAGGGCCTGCTCCATGCCACGCACTGCACTGGATGGAAATGAGATAGTGCTCTTCCATTAGGAGCTTCGGTCTGTGTCTCAGCAACGCAGCTGAGTGCTGGGCTCCATCCTGTCCCACCACACTTCTCCCACACACCTGTCAGAGCTCGCCTTCCTCCCTCCACTCAAGGAACACAGAGGCAGTGTGATCAAGGTGCATCCCAAACCCAGTGTGTTACTCCTGATCTTTTTCTCCCGATTATTTTCTGTCTCGACTCCTCCTTGGAAAGAATAGGGGAAAGTTCATTCCCAATTTACGGTCACTTTCTGCATTCTAGTAGAGAGCATGCAAAGAGGCCTGTGGGAAGGAGCACTTGGAAAGCCTTGCCTGACTGTGCCCATCTATTTTAGCACTGGCTGACTCAGTCCGCATAAGACAGGCCCATTCCAGAGCTGCAGAACACTAAGACAGGACCCTGGAGATGACTAGACTCAATCCAGTTTTTCTACATTGTCAAAGCCAAGTTCCAGAGACAGCATGCAATCTGCAATAGTCAGACAGCAAGTTAGTTACAGAACGAAAATGAGAACCCAGGTCCCCTGGCTGCCAGCCCAGGGTCACCCCACTGCCCTATGGAGCCCCTCCCAGGCCAGTTGCAGCCACTTTGGACTCAGACAGCACACATAACCGTGTGGCACTTGCCTCCCCAGGGGCTCATGAGCTGGAGCAGATGCAGCTTATCCTGGAGACCATCCCTGTGATCCACGAGGAAGACAAGGACGATCTGCTCAGGGTGATGCCATCCTTTGTCAGCAGCACCTGGGAGGTGAAGCGGCCCCTGCGCAAGCTTCTCCCCGAAGTGAACAGTGAAGGTACTGGAGCCTGACCGTCAGGGCAGCATCTCGAGATGCTGAGCTCTGGCCTTGTGGGGCAGGGGGCAGGTGGGTCTCCATCCGAAAGGGCAGAGCATGGTCCTTGGAAGTAGGTATCAAGGCTCCCCTGCCAGTAGGCCTTTGCCCTAAGCTACAAACCATCATGTCTGTGCTCAAAGTTTCAGATTTTGGAGAATTTTGGATTTCAGATTTTCAGGTTAGGGATTCTCAGTCAGTAAAGACTATGCACACATTAGAAATTCAAAAATATCTGAAATATGAAAAAGATTCAGGTTGCAAGCATTTTGGATAAGGGATGCTTGACCTGTACTTTCAAACTATGGACTATTGACCCCTGGAGTTCAGCCAAAGACAACCCAAAGCAGTCATTAGTGGCCCTCCATGTTCTACCCTGTTTTTGCTTCCTTTTTTGTTATTTTTCTCACTTGCCTTGCTCCCTCTCTGCCTCCATCCCACCTTACTTTTTTTTTTTCTACGAAGGCCATAGTGTGGGGCAGAGAATGGGAACTTTCTCAGCTTGAGGGCCAGACCCAAGTTCAATTCCCAATTCCCAGTGACTAGCTGTGTGACCCCAGGCACATTACTTCTCTGTATCTTGGTTTTCTTAATTTGTAAAATAGGCATAATAATAATGCGATACTTAGGGTAAGTGCTAGTCAGCCTTCCCTCACTGTGACAAAATACCTATGAAAAACAGCTTAACAGCCAGACGCTGGGGGCTCATGCCTGTAATCCTAGTTACTCAGGAGGCAGAGATCAGAAGGATCGCAGTTTGAAGCCAGCCCAAGGCAAATAGTACTCGAGACCCCATCTCGAAAAATACCAATACAAAATAGGCCTGGTGGAGTGGCTCAAGTGATAGAGTGCCTGCCTAACAAAGCCTAGCAAGTGTGAGGCCCTGAGTTAAAGCCCCAGTATGGCAAAAAAAAAAAAAAACAACTTGGAAGGAAGGAAGATTTATTTTGGCTTATAATTTCAGAGATTTCAGTCCATTGTCACTTGGCTCCATTGTTGGGTCTGTGGTAAGACAGAGCATCATGGCAGAGAGGACATGGCAGAGCAAAGCTGCTTAACAAGAAGGGAAGAGGGTGGGGGAATTACAAGATAACACCCTTCAAGATATGTCCCTAGTGACCTCCTTCCTCCAGGTAGGTCCCACCTCCTATAGTTTCCACCACCTCCAAATAGCCAATAGTCTATTTAATCATGAACCTTACAATGGATCACAAAAACTCTATCTCTGAGCATTGCTAAATTGGGGACCAAGTCTTCAACACATGAATCTTTGGGACCATTTCAACGCAAACAATAATAGGGTATTTGTGACAAGTAAAATAGAATTAGGAAAACCTTTGGCACAGAATAGTTGTTCCATAAACCTTAGACAGAGGTCGATGATCCAGAACCAATATAGTAGACTTGCTCTACAAGGTCATCCAGGAGCCCAAGCTCTCTGTCTTGTTGTGCTGCCAATTTAAGGTGTTGCCCTTTTCTCCCTAGAGAAAGGAGGGAAAGCAGAGAAAGTGCTCTTGCTCCAGGAATTCTGGACCAGGGACATGTTGCCCATGTCATCCCATCCCCAAGCAACCACACACACCCTTGGTGACATGGCTCTGAGAGGGGAGACATTGTCTTGGAGAAATCAGAATTAGTTCCTGATAAAGCACCTCATTGTTGTCAGCCAATGTTTACCAGTTCACCATGGCTAGAAAACTGCATTAGGGACCAAAATTCACAGTCTTAGCTGGAAAACAGGGAAACCCATCAAAGATGAGTATGAATGTTAGGAAACACACACTAGGCACAGTTGAGAGTTCAGAAATCTGGGAGAGCAGAAGAGAGCCACCAAGTTCTGAGAAGGCCAGAGAAGTTGCCCTGGAGGAAGTGGAGGGCTCTGATCAGTAAGACGATCACAACGCTGAGTGTAGCAAGTGAAGCTAGAGAGATGAGAAGAATCAAAAGGTTGGGGGCTTCCAGTGGCCAGCTGCTGTGTCTAGACTTGATCCTGGAGCTGACCAGAAGTCCACTCAAGCCAGGCTGACTTCACCTTCCACTTCCATTGTTCTCCTCTCTGCCTCTCACCTTAAAAAGTGACCACACTCAGCCTCTGGCCTTGGGTTCATGAGGCATCACCAAAATGGACATCAGTGGGAGAAACAGCCCTAGACCACCTGCCCACAAGAGCCACTGGTGGCCCTCAGCTTTGCCCCCTCTGATGTATACTCAGAGAAGAGGCAAAAGGGTCTACCTGCTATACCTCAGTGGCTCAAGGGACTCACTCTAGGTGACAGTCCCTCTCACTCTAGGTGACAGCAGCCCAATAGCCATCATGTGGCAGGTGCAAGGCAAGGCAGGTCTGAAGACCATCCTGGAGGATCCAGCTTGGTGTGTTTGCAAGTAAACACACCAAAAAGAGCAAATCTGATGAAGAAATCCAATATAAAGGCAGCAGGGGTGCTCTGATTGAAGCAGAGATAAGGGCACAAGGTCCTGCCCACCTGCTTCCATTCTCCAGAGGTCTCCTGGGAATCCTCCAGAACACCTGGGCTCTGAGGAGCCCAGTTTGGAATCCACTTAGCCAGAAGGTGACAAGATTATACAGAAGCTCCATTGTATAAGCAGTGCCTTAAAAACATCTTGGTGGGGAAGGGTGGAGTGTCACTCTGCCAGAGACCTAGGCTGTCAGACAGTCTGCCATCTTCAATTCACAGCATGCAGCTGAAACTGGGGGAGGGGCAGGAGCACAGACTCCTGCAGGAGGTTTGTATGGGTCAGGCTTAAAATGGGGTATATACATCACATCCCCCCCCATCCTGTTGGCCCCAGTCATACAGCCATCCTCACTGCAGGAGAGACTGAGAAAGGCAGGCCAGTGGGGTGCCAGGAGTGGACAGTTATGGAGGACATAGCTGCTGCCTTGAAACAGGAGACAGTCATGGGGAAAAGGGGCCCAGTGATTCAGGGGCCTACAGTGAGGGCAGAGCTGGGTCTGAGGATACGAATTAAAGGGGGCAGATCCAGGATTGATGGAAGGGAAGATTATCTGAGTCTTAAGCTTCCTGGACGTGTCTGGGCACCAGCTGCTAGAGAGATAAGGAGACTCTCCCTCCTGGTATGGGTAGAGCAGCCTCGGGGCCAGCACCTTCCTGTTCCAGGCTCCAGACTTCTTCAACAAGGATGATGCAGCCAGTGTGCATGGATTTTATTCTCTATTGCTTAGTCAAAAGTCAGAAGATCCTGTGTAATGGGTAGAACAGAGGGAAGGCCTAGAGATCCACAGAGTAATAGACTTGCCCAGGACAAATGAACTGACAGTTCATTTTGGTGATGCCTCATGACCCCAAGCCCAGAGGCTGAGTGGGGTCACTTTTTAAGGTGAGAGGCAGAGCTGGGTCCTGCCCTGGAATGTGCAATTGGTCCAGTCCTGAGAACTTGGAGGTGACCCTCTCCCAGGTTTGCAGCCCTCTGAGCTCAGGAGTGATTAAAGTCACTGCTACTTACCTAATCTTTCACCAAGGGGCATGCAGCAGCACTGCCCCCCTGGGAGGATGGTGACCTTCTTGAAGCCATTGATTTCCTGACTCATTAATGACTTTTCCTGCAGAGAGATCTAGGGCTTGTGTGCAGGGCAGGTTAGCACTGTAGGCTGACCTTCACTCTTGAGAGACAGACAGCCTGAGCTTTGAGACTGCTCTAGTCCCCCCTTGCCTTGTAGACTGGAATGTGAGTAGCCAAGACGTGGAGCAGACTCAGAAGTGAGAAGGCCAAGCTTTGCCCTGACATGACCAGGGCAGAGATCACAAAGCAGAGACCCTAGCTAGGACAGGTGGGGGACAGGGAGAGAAAGCAGCCCTGTCTGCAGGAGTGCCAGCACTGTTCAGCCACCGTTCCCATGACACCTGTTAGCTATTCAGCTCTTAGAGTACTTCACGCCACCACACAAGGCTCCTGAGCACCCCTTCCCCCAGGTTCCCATAGCCCAGAATTCCTGGGATCTAGTCACCGAAGGGAGCCCAGCACAGCAGGGAGCTTTAACCTGGTTGTTCAATTTTATTTATTTATTTATTTTTTTATTTCAGTACTGAGGACTGAACTTGACCTCTCACTTGGTAGGCAAGCACTCTAACACTTAAGCCACAAACCCAGTCCTTTTGCTTCTAGTTGCTTTCCAGATAGGGTCTCACACTAATTTTGCCCACACTGGACTTGAACTGAGATTCTCCTACCTCTCCCTCCCGGGTATCTAGGATTATAGGTGTGTGCCACTATGCCCAGCCTTGGTTGCTCAGTGTTTCAAATAGTGATCAAGCCACCGGTCTTTGTCAAACTTCCAGAGGTAACATATGGCAGAAAGAGCTCTGACCTCTAGGCAGACCTGTTCCTCTCCAACCCTCCACATCTGGCTTTCTCACTAAGGCTTTCTACTGCAGGCTCCTCGGTCCCACCCCAGCAGCCTTTAACCGGTGACAAAGGGAGTGGGGGTGTGAATATCCCAGCTTCCCCACTCCTCAAGGGAGCCACCTGTGAGGTGCATTCCACACTGTTTCTAGGAGGATCCCAGAGGAACTGAGTCTTGGTGTCCCAAACTGTTTAATGGTACACCTGGTACTGGCTTCTCTCCCACTGCCCCACCTGTGCTTCCTGGGATCCCCTGCCACAGAAACTACCTGTCCCCTAAGGCATGCTTCAAGGCTCCTCCCACCAGCAGTGGGATCCTAAGCAAATTACCTTATGCCTCCCAGTCTCTATTTAATTAATTTGCAAAGTCAGGAAGGCAGCATCTGCTCTCCTTGTCGCTGAACTGTAGCCAGGATCCTAAGAAGAAAATGGCCACAAACCTTTCTACAAACAGAAAAGCGCAAAAGCCAGGGACCATCACCACACTGAGGAGTCTTAGCTTGGCTGGGGCAACAGATAATCTTTGTGTCTGGCTTTGCTCCTCACAGCCATTGACTTTCTGGAGAAGATTCTGACCTTTAACCCCATGGACCGCCTAACAGCTGAGATGGGGCTGCAGCATCCCTACATGAGCCCATACTCCTGCCCTGAAGACGAGCCCATCTCGCAACACCCCTTCCGCATCGAGGATGAAATTGACGACATTGTGCTGATGGCCGCCAACCACAGCCAGCTGTCTAACTGGGACAGGTGCGGTTTCAGGGGCTTCCAAGCCTGGAACCCAGAGCCACATTCTCCCATACTCTCATTTCTGTCGTATCTCAGATAGTCCATGACCTTTCCCTGTGTCTCCAAAGCTACATAGCCCCGTGGGTGCTTTCCCCAGCCTAGCTTCCTGCCTTTCTCCTGTCCCCAGACACTCCCTGTAAGTGACCTGCCAGGTGCCACATGTTTGGATGAGAGGCCTTCCACTGTGCAGCACCACCACCCCTACTCTCCCCAACACCCCAAGTCTACTGAACACGGGGTTCCGTGTGTACAGTGGGCAAGCACTAGCAAGTGCCCACTGCAGGAGCCCACTTCTAGCAGGTTGGGACTTTGCCCTTGAAAAGCCACCTACAACAATGCAAGTCAAGAAAGCAATGCAGAATTTACTGCTAAAAAATTCCTTTCTTATCATATCATTTGCACCTCCTGAGAGTGCTATTAGGGGAAGTTCTGTTTTTACTACTATTACCATGAGGAAGCTACAGCCCAGAGAGGCTAAGAGACTGACATCATGTCACACAGTGAGCGAGTACATGGCCTGGGTGGTGCCCTTCCCAATCTGCGTCCATGTCAGACACTGCTCAGTAATCTTAGAACTCTGTCCTACTAAATCGAGTATGGCTTCAGGATCCTTAACACTTAACGAGTGACCCTGGAAGCCATCAATGAATCAGTGTTGGGTAGAAGACACATTTTTGACCAAAGTCAGCCTGAACGTGTAAGTGATCTCATAGATCCTTCCTGTCCTGACGTTCTTAGATAAGGCGGCTACACGTTAGGGCATCGCCATCTGCTAATTCCAGGAGGCAGAGCTGCTCGGTTTAGAAATAGAGTGGAAGAGGGGAGGGCTTAACCACTCCGGGAAGCCCAACTGGGAGCCCTGCTACCATGGGAATGTGACAGCTAGTTACATAAGTGACAGATGAGCAATTTCTCCTTTTTAGTCACTTGACAGATGACGGGTTTCAGATTGAGGGGGTGCCGAGGGTGGGCCGGGGCAGCACTGCTATTTTGGGGCAGGTTTGCTGGCTTGTTGTTGATTATTGTTGTCAAGTGTTGCCAACAAATTGACATTAGTGAAGACTCTCCCGCTACCCCCACACTGGGCCTGCCCGAAGTTCCTAGGCTTACAGCCCCTGTCCCTCCAGTCCACAGAATTTGGACAAAGAATTTAGAGTTTGGTTGGTCACTGACCATCAACTCTGGCCAACACCAAACCTGGTACACCTCTGCTTCCAAGCTAGCCCATCATGAGGACATCTACATGAGGACAAGGATAACAAAGACCCTGCTGCTATGGACACTGCTTCACCTCCTGCCATGCTAGTATCCTCAGCTGTAAAGCCATGTGGCAACACTAAGTCTGCAGGGCTGTTGCAAAGACCACAGATAATGTATGTTTGACACTTGACACGTGGCAGCCAAAGGCTGTGTTTTCACAAGCTCTTCCTCCTAGAAATCTCTGCTGTTTCAAGGCCATGCAGGGAAAAAGGCAATACTGAGCTCTGGGAACCATTCCTGCCCTCATGGGAAGGCACCAAAGCCTTCCCATGTCCTGCTAACCACATTCTATGGGCTGCAGCTGCCTGGCCTGCCCCTTCCCACAGCTAGTCATGCCCAGCCTTGCTTGTCTAATTGTTCTGTGTGAGCACCAGGCCTCCAGCTGCTGCCTCCTCTGTGCTCCCTGCCTCCCCTACCCACCCTGGCTCTGTACAGAGCACCTGGCACAAGTTGGGAGGGCTCAGCCAGAGCTGACACCTGCCTGCCTGCTCATCTGCCCTTCATTTGCTCTTGTCTGTCTGAATTCACTCTCCATGGCTGCAGGGCAGTTGGCAGAGAGCAGAATTCTGAGAATCTTTGGCCTCCCCTGATGGTTGGTGCCTGTGATTTTTCTGTATCCCCACCTGCTCTGCCTCAGTCATGGTACTGCAGGACACCAGATCCACTAGAACGGGTTCTCAGTCCTAGGTATACCTTAAGGATCTCTAGGGAGACTACTGAATCAGAACTAGAGTGGGGCCAGCGAGGCAGGCCTGGTACTTGATTTTTAATTCCCTCATGTGATTAATCTGAGCCAAAGTTGAGAGGCTCAGCCCAGCCTTACCACTCATTAAGTGTGGTCCAAGAACCAGCAGCATCAACGAGAGCCTATCAGAAGTACAGGATCCCAGGCCCCCACCTTAAGGCTGCTGGATCACAGTCTTATTTTAACAAGATCCCCAGGGTGGTATGTGTGTACATCAAAGTTTGAGGAGCATTACATAGGTGGATCTACTAGAACGTTCCATGTTCATAGCTATACATTTCTGTGTGTGTCTGGCACATAGAAATGCTCAAGAATATTTTTAGAGTTTTGAATGAATACAAAAAAAAAAATACGAAGACTAAAGAGAATGATCAGTCTCCCTAGCCGAGTTCCTGGGGGTCACCTTAACCTGCACCATCACCCTCCCACTTGGAGGGGTGGGGGGACAGAGGCAGGAGGGACTGAGGAGTAGTAGAAGCAGGCTTGAGAGCGGCAGGTAGGGATTAGGGGGCTTGGTTTGCTCTCAGAAGTCACACCCTTGGGGATATTCCGTCACCGCTCCATTCACACCTTTGCAGGTACCCTGTGAGCCTGTCATCGGACCTGGAGTGGCGGCCAGACCGGTGCCAGGATGCAAGCGAGGTGCAGCGTGACCCACGCGCGGGCTCGGCGCCGCTGGCCGAGGACGTGCAGGTGGACCCGCGCAAGGACTCGCAGAGCAGCTCTGAGCGCTTCCTGGAGCAATCGCACTCGTCCATGGAGCGTGCCTTTGAGGCCGACTATGGGCGCTCCTGCGACTACAAGGTGGGGTCACCATCTTACCTGGACAAGCTGCTGTGGCGCGACAACAAGCCGCACCATTACTCAGAGCCCAAGCTCATCCTGGATCTGTCGCACTGGAAGCAGGCGGCAGGCGCGCCCCCGGCCGCGGTGGCAGCAGACGCAGTGGTGCATGAGGACGAGCCAGCCAGCCTCTTTCTGGAGATCGCTCAGTGGGTCAAGAGCACCCAAGGTGGCCCCGAGCGAGCCAGTCCGCCCCCAGGCAGCCCTGAGCGCCGCCTATCTGCCTCGCCCCCTGGCCGCCCGGCCCCGGTGGACGGGGGTTCCAGTCCCCAGTTCGACCTGGACGTGTTCATCTCCCGTGCCCTGAAGCTCTGCACCAAGCCGGAGGACCTGCCAGACAATAAATTGGGTGACCTCAATGGTGCCTGCATCTCTGAGCACCCTGGCGACCTCGTGCAGACGGAGGCCTTCTCCAAAGAAAGGTGGTGAGAGCAGAGGGGGAGCTCTAGGCCACGCCAGGAGGTCAGACTGGTCAGATGAGGCCACCTCCCTGGCACTTCCACCACCCCTTCCGCCCCTCTCTGCTGCCTTGGGGTTAGCAGAACACATGAAGGATCCGAGGAGCGAGAGGAATGTCCATTTCTTAAACTGCCTTAATATCTAGCCTTTAACCTCTGGGAGCGGGTTGAAACAGAGCCTGGTTGGGAGTTTACACTTGCCCAGGGAAGGGGAGGCCATAGGTTTTATAAGTGACAGTGTGCAGGGAAGAAGCCTTACTCAGTGATCTGCAGCCCCTTCCTGCACTGGGAGGGTGCAGAAGCAGCTTGCAGGCATAGTTTTGAAGCCATCTGGCCCATCTAGCCTCAACTGACAGCTGAAGAAGGCCCAGAGAAGCAAAGTGACTTGCCTGTGATTCTATCATAGACCTAATGAGTGTCTGGCTGGGCCTTGAGTCCCAGTCTCCTGACCCCCAGGCCAGTGTCTGTCCATAATACAATGTCTTCCTCTGCTGGGGTCTCTTTGGGTTTTTTGGTCAGAAAACTTGGTTCCGTATGTTTCTTTCCTGTCCATAACCACCTGACACATCTTCTTTTATTCACAGCAATGTTTCTTGATATTCTGAAATTGAAAACTGAACCTGTTTCTCTCTCCTAGTCATCAAGTATATTTTTTCTGGCTCCCCAAGTACTTAAATATTGTCATCTGTCACCTCCCTGTGTTTGCCTCCTCTCTGCATGGTCTGAAATCCTTGTTTCAGATTAGAGCAGTCTGAGGTCTGTGGATAAACTCAGTCATCCTCCCAAGCCTGTGCTACGATCCCTCCAGCATACCCTATGCACTTTCCTGACACGCGTGAAGACACAGCCCTTATTCCCCATTGAGTGTCGTACACGGGTGAGTTTGAAGACAGCAATTCCAAGAACCCCTCCAGTCCATCCCCAGCCCCCATCCACCCACATACAAACAGCTCTTCTCCAAGCCCACCCCGGGACTGAATGTTCTCAGTACAGATCGCTCATTTGTAAGAAAGCAATAAGGTGCCTGCCACAGAGCAAATGTATAAGGAGGAAAGGTTTCACCAGGACCCTCCATCCATCATTAACACTGCCCTTGAATTTGCTCATCCATTTAGCCTTGGCTAAAAAAAAAAAAAAAAAAAAATGCATTGGAGAGCTAATGACCTTGGGGCAAGGAACCCAGAAAGGCAGTGTGAAAGAAGGGTGCCAACCTCAAAGGCCATTAGGAATCAGGCATCAGCTTGGAGACAAAGGACTGAAAGCAACAGTGACCCTCTCAGCTTAGGCTAAGATAAGCTTAGAGCACACAGGCCCTCTGCAGAAGCACAGGGTAGGGACACAAGCATCCCCTAGTCTGGTCCCTGAACACTCTGCCATTTCTGCCACTATTGGCCATATCTCCCACCCCTCACCAACACCCCAGAGATATCCACAGGAAGTCTGGCTGGTCTGTAGAGAGAGGATTCCCTAGTGCTGGGCGTAGGCTGTGTTCACCCGCATTTCATAGCACCTTAAATCTAATCAGCCAACTATGATTTGTACATTGAAACCTGCAATGCATTAGAAACTTATATTTAAAAACAATTAATCATGCTGACCACTTTTTAAGTGGAAAATATGTAAATATGAAATATTAGGTTTTGCTTTTTGTTTTTTTTTTAAGAAAAGGAAATACACACCACTCCTTATGTGCCATTTTGTCCTCAAAAGGTGGCTTTACTTTTTGGGTAAAGGGACAGGCTGCTGACCTTGACTGGGAGTTCATATATAGTTGTTATTACAGAGAAATTGTTATAATTACTCATGTTTTGATCAGGACAAGCCAAATAAAGTTTTATTGGAACATAATTCTCTATGTATTGTCACATTCATTTGCATCTTATCTGATCCTGTATTTGACAGTGGCTGACTCATGGGAGCTTCACTGGCTTTTCCCTACACCAAGAAAGCCAGTGTTTTGAGAGGTTGAAAATGTGGGGGTAGAGGCTGTTCTGGGATCAGAGAATCCACACAAGTGAGTAATCAGAAAGTGATTCCATGATTACCTGGTGAGGCCTGGTGTCCATATTCTGGATTTCTAGTCATATCTTGGAACCACCTTCTGACTGAGGCTGGTCCTTCCTTCCCTCAGTCATAAAAAGTACTAACATCATGAGATTTGGGGAACCAACCTTCCAAAAATACCCATCTGGGGTTGGGCGCAGTGACTCACATCTGTAATCTTGCTGCTTGGGAGGTGGAGATAGTAGGATCATGGTTCAAAGCCAGCCTGAACAAGAAGTTAGTGAGACTCCATCTCAACAGACAAGGTGAGCATAATGGAGCACAGAGACCTATGGTCCAAGGTCTGCCCCAGGCAAAAACATGAGGCTCTGTCTGAAAAATAAAGGAAAAAGGACTGAAGGTGTGTCTCAGGTGGTAAGGTGCTTGCCTAGCATGAACTTGGGTTCAATCCCCAATAACAACAAGAAAAAAAAGTGCCCACTTAAACTATACTCATCACACCTGAGATTCCACCTGTCTGAAGTTGACCCCTCTGTAATACCTGTATGAAAGCATTAGTCCTAACTCCATTATTTAAAAAAAAAAAACTAGACATTTAAATTTTTTTTCTGTTTATTTCTACTTCCCTAAAAGGTCTTCTGGTTAAAAGAACTTACTACTAAAATGCATATGATTCGAGAGGAACAGCCTGCTAAGCTATTTACTAGATTCCTTCCAAAGTGTCAACCAAGAATACAGAAGCACCCCTCCCCCCATCCATTGCTTCAGTTTCTGGGGTTTTTTTTGTTTTGTTTTAATCAGTACTGGGGTTTGAACTCAGGGTTTTGCACTTGCTAGGCAGGTGTTCTAACACTTGAGCCAAGCCTCCACCTCTGGTTATTTTGCTCTGGTTATTTTGGAGACAGTCTATCACTTTTTGTCCAGGCCAGCTTGGACTACCATCCTCTATTTTAAGCTTCCCCCTGTCTTTGACAGGTTCACACTACCAACCATGCCCAGGTTTTTTCCATTGAGATGGAGTCTCACAAACTTTTTACCCAGGGCTAGCCTCGAACTGCAATTGTCCCCATCTCAGCCTCTCAAGTAGCTAGTATTATAGGTGCTACAACCAGCACTCAGCTTCAGTTTCTGAGGTTTCAGTTACCCACAGTCAACAGCAGTCCTAAAATATTAAATAGAAAATTCCAGTAATAAACAATCCATAGTTTACATTTCACACTATTTTGAGCAGTGTGATGAAGTCTCACTGGATGAGTCATTCCTTTATCTGGTGTATCCACTCTGTATATGCTGTCCACCCATTAGTCACTTACTAGTCATCTTGGTTATCAGATTGACTCTCACAGCATCTTGGTGCTTGTATATAGGACTCAGTACTATCCATAGCTTCAAGCATCCACTGTGGGATTTAGGTACTACTGTATCTCCCTGTCTAGGGGATACAAATGAACATAGAAGCCCAGAGCAGGGCAGAGACTTGGCAACTACAATGAAAGAAGCATATGAGGCAGAAGAAGCTGAGAAGCTCAAACAGCAAATAGCAGCAGAGGAAGAAGTACAGCAAAGGAAAGAAAGTCCCCCAAAGGAAGTATGTCACAATTTCACCTAGCTATTAAAACTTCTCTGAGAGGTCCCAGGGAGACTCTGATGTAACAAACCAGTCAGCAAGCTAAGTTGTAAGCCAAAGAGTTTTATTGAACATAGCGGTATTCATTCATTCATTTATCCATGTATTATCTGATCTTTATTTAAAATTTTAATATCTCATTTATTGTGGTGGGGTTTTTTTGCAATTTTTAACTAAGAAAATACTGCATCTTTGTCACTGAGTTTTTTGGCACCTTTAAGTGAGCGAGGTAAATGCTTCACTCACTTCTACCCTAGTCTCAATCCTGTCCACAGCAGCAGTGTCAGAATTACAATGGAGACATCATCGCCCATAAAGCCTGACCCCTTACAGGAAACGTTCACTGACCCCAGTGTAAGACGCCACAGGGTCTCCACGTCTTTGCAAATAAGAACATGGCCTGCCTTTTCTTTTCTGGCCACAGATACTCCCGTCCAGACATGTCGTATTATCATGTGTGGTCTTCTTATTCCATATGCTTATGCTAGTTTGTCAAACAGGAGCAAGTGTGTACAAACAGCATTTCATCTCCTCAAGACAGAGAAATTTAGCCCAGACCAATACCTGTTCAGGTAGTCCTGCCTAGTCCTGCCATCCTTATTATTCAACAAATATGAATGTGGATAGTAGATGGGAATTCACAGGTTATCTAATCCCATGCCCTCATTTTTCAGATGAGTACATTGAAACCCAGAGCAGGATAATAATTTGCCTGAAATCACACAGGTAGTTATTGCCAGAGCTAGAGCTAGATCACAATCTTCAGGATCGTATTCAGCTCATCCAACCTAACTGGGGTCCAGATGCTGGGTTAATTTTGGCAAGAACGAGATCAGTTCTGATCTTGGGAACAGATGAAACACCGAAGCCACATGGTCCTTTCACCTTTGCCTGGATTCTGGGGCCCTGCCCTGTGCTGACCTTAGAAATGGCTTTCTGTCCATCCAGACAGCTTCTGCCTAACTTGGAGCCTAATCGAGAGAGAGAGAGAGAGAGGGAGAGAGGGAGAGGGGAGGAGAGAGGCAGGGGAAAAGGAGGGGAGAGGAAGGGAGGGGACACTGGATTATTTGACTTCTTTCAGAACCAAATCCTAAAATAAGGATTCAAGTGCAGGAGTTGGAGGTGGAGCAAGGTCAGTGGGGAAGACTAGAGAAGAGAAAGAAGCCAGTGAAGGGAAAAGTCCCTACCGTGGTCAGCTGCTGCTGCATCCTGGCAGGGGGCACTGGGAGGCAGCAGCGCCTACATACAACTCAGGCCCCCCCTATTGCCAGCCACCCCTTGTAGTTTGATGACTGTTCCCCTGGGATACTGCATCCTCAGGACCTAAACAGAACAGCCTC